CCCCCACCCCCCGACCCCCCGACCCCCCCCCCGTACGAGTAGTGTCGTGTCGTTGGTGTCGGTTGTACGTGGTGGAGGGGGAGGAGGGCGGGGGGGAGGGAGGGCTGCCCTCAGCCCTTTCCGTGGCTTCTCTGCGTTTGGGTTATTATTATTTTTGTAACAATCCCAAATCAAATCCGTCTCCAGGCTGGAGGGGCAGGGGGCCCTGGGGTGAGGAAAGCAAAAAAACAAAAAACAAACAACCCAGGGTGTTAGGAGGAGAACGAGGAGAGGGTAAGGGCAGGAAAGGAGCAGGGCTGGTTGGGGGGGGCCGCTCTCCCCAGCCCTCCACCCTCCGCAGCAGAGCCTCTTCCCGGGCTTCGCGGGAATGGGGAGGTGGTGAGCAGGAGCGGCAGGTGGCTTTCCTCTGTCAGTCGCACGCCCTGAGTGATGGACAGAGGAGCAGGTATCGCCCTGACACCCCTCCCCCACCACGACGGGAAAGGCGTGAATGCGGCCACGAGACCTGCAGATGGCCTGTTGCCACGCAGGGGCTCAGGGCTTCCACGTGCCGAGGACTCGGGTGCCTGCAGGAGGGGTAGACTTGGACAGGAAGGATGGTAGAGGTGGCCCCGTCCCCCCCTCACCCCCCACAGTGAGTGGAACCACCCCGGGGGTACAGCAGAGCAAGGCTGCCCCTCCAGGCTCTCTCTGTGGGAGCAGCTCTGCTCTGGGGCCTGAACTGATTCTGCTCCCCGCGCCGAGGGGCCCCTCGCTCTCACCCAGCCCCGGACTGTTGCACGGCAACCACTCCTCTCCTGGCATTGCTCAGCAACTTCTCCTCCCTGTCTTGTGCTGCCCTGTGCCCCTTCCTGTTCCCGAAGCCATCCCTCAGTCCTCCCTACCTCCCTCAGCAGCCAGGCAGACACAACAACAAAAATACTAAAAGGAGCTTCACTGCGCTGAGCTGTTTCCTGCCCAAACGAAAGGAATAACGTGTCTGGATGCGTGTGTGCGCTCGCGTGTGTGTCTGCGCATGTGTGTGAGTGTGTGAGAGGCAGAGGGGCTCCTGGGCAGGTGGGCGGGCTGTGGGGCATGTGAAGAAGGGCTCTGGGAGCCGAGGCTTCCTAGGCAGGCTTTGCACCTCACCTGGGATGTGGCTCCACCCTGCTATTTTCCATGTCAGCCCCAGTGCCCATCTGTCATGCAGAAAGCAGTCCCAGGGTGTGTTTCTGCTCCGTTGTCCATCTCGTCTCTCCCTCAAGCAACCCCAGCCTCCACATCCCTTCTCAGAGCCATGAGTCAGTGCCACAGCCTCTGCTATGCATCCCTCAGGCCTCTCCCTGGCGCTGACCCTGGAATGACCACTGTCACTTCTTTTGCCCATAGTCTGTACCCAGTGCATTGAGGGCTGGGAATGCAACCGCCTGTCTCCTTCCCTTCTCCGCCCCTCCTTTGGATTTTCTGTCTTCCTTCGTGCCGGAGCTGGTTGCCGTGGAGACGAGGCCACTCACCCTCCCCATCCAGCCGCCCCGCCTCAGACCCGGGGTGCCCCTTGGCCCCCCTCACCCTCCTCCAGCATGTCCTCCCTGCTCGGACAACCCAGGGGCACGCAGAGTGGAGGCTGCTGTCTCCAGCAGGTCTGCCCACCCCCTTCCGTTCAGGTAATGCCGTTGTGAATCTTCCAGCCGCAGGTGAGGGCCCCAGGCACCGCAGGCAGCCCCTCACCTAAGCCAGGGCCCCCTCCTCTTCCCACAGCCAGGCAGCCTAGGGCCTCGGGCCTTATCGGCTCCCTGTCTCCCAGCACTTGCTTTTGGGAAAACGACTTTTTCCTCTTTGAGCTGAACCACTCTGTCCATATTACACAGAAGCCATATTTGTACGGGGGGGGCGGGGGGAGAGGGGCCGTTGTGCTGTGTGTGTCTGTCTGTGGGGGGGGGGGAAGGGAACAGGGAGGGCACCGTGTATCTTTATAATCTTTCTAACTCTCCTGTGCTAATCTCAGAGGGGCCACCCTCAATATATCTGGATTATCCGTGTCGTTCAGCTGCCTCCTTCTTGCTGCTCCGGCTCCTGCTGGGATGTGTACGCAGGGGCTTATCTGCTGGTGCCCCCGCACCTGGCGCCTCCGGGGGTGGTGTGTGCGCTGCCATGCTTGCGCCCCAGGGCACCCCTGGATGGAAAAAGTTATACCTCTCCAAGGGAGAGAAATGCATTCATCCCCTTTGGACAGGTCCTTGCTTTCCAGAGCGTTTGGGTTGGGGCATCTGACAGCTCCCCACTGCCCTCTGCCAGGCTGTGCTGGAGACGACGGAGATGAAGTGGAGACCTCCGAACACCACTCCGGGACCCCTTCAGCAGACCCCCAAACTCACTTTCTAGCCCCCCTCATGTTGAACCTGAAACTGGAGCTAGTGTCCTGGGAGAAAAGGGGACCAGCTCTGCAAGGCAGTCATCCCTTTGCCCTTTGGCTTCCCTGCTCCACCTCCAGGCATCCTTCTGTGAGTGGGAAAGAGCACTTGGCTGAACTGGCTACCACGTCCCATGCTTTCTTGGACAAATGAAACAGTGTCACCTAACCAGCCCTCTCTATCTCATTGTTCTGACTCGGACACTCCATGACCCACCCCTCTCAACGTCCAGGCTAGGTCTCCCCCAGTGGGGGAATCAAATGCAGAGTCGGGGTGGGTGAAGGCAGCGGGGGTGGGGACTACCAAAGAGAAGAGGTGTTGGCTTCTGGGGATCCTCGTGCAGAGTCCGCGCCCTTTCTCCCTGCCCGCTGGAGAGACAGAGAAGCTCTCCCCTGGCATAAGGACCTTCACATCTTGCCACGACACCAGGCCAACGTAGCCGTTCCAGAGCCTTTATGTCCCCCAACAGAAATAAGAACAGAGATGACCTCATAGGCAACTGTTCCATGTTAAAATAGGCCGTCCTGTTGTCCCCCAGAGTCTGCCTTAACTTGTCACATTAGGTGTTCTGCTGGGTAACAAGGTGCATCCACTGTGCCCATGGGGGGCTGGGCCAATGCCCAGTTGCTCCCTGAAGTAGCTTCATTGTGTAGCCTTGACAGTTGCCCCCAGCCCTCCCTTCTCTCACACCCAGACGCAGAGATATCAGGACACACACTCAGACACCTGCCTGAAAGCTAGCACCCAGATAGGTTCCACGTGATGCACAACACGGCCGAGCACAGATGAGTAAGTACATCCTTGCACCCAGACTGATACACAGAGAGCCCTCGCCTGCACACATACCACTCAGGTTGTCAGCAGCCCAGGCTCCAGCCACAGGCAGCACTGACACCCCCTCCCACCAACACATCGCTTTTGAACTACCTTTCCTTGGAGCAAGTTCAAGGTGGTGGAGAAGCAGTGAGAGTCATCGGCTGCCCTCTCCCTCCAACTTCCCAGCACGTCTCTTATCTCTGTCTCAGACTTCACCTCTGGCCCCCTCTTCCTTCCTTGTGATTGAAGAATCCCTTCTTGCTGGAAAAAAACCCCTGGCTTTCCAGCCTCCTTTTCCACCTTCGGGAAAATACCCGCTTTCTGGTCCCCACCTTTTTCCTTTCCCGAAGTGCAGGTCCCTAGCAGCAGCATCCAATCTCAAAACAGGAAGCCCCGGGACAGTGCCCCCCGGGGTCCCGAGGCTCCGACAGGCAGTGGGTGTGAGGTAAAGACTTCCTGAATGCCGCCCCCGCCACCGCCTGCCCTGTGACCCTGCCCAGAGCCGGTGGCCTTCATTAGTCCCAGGCACTTATCTTGCAACCACAGCCACTGACAGACCGATCCCAGCCCTTCTCTCCGCCTGCCCTGAGCCCAGCAGTGTCATGGGGAACTGTCTGCGCCCGGTGAGTGTCGGCTGAGCCCACAGCCGCTACCTCTCTGCCCCCTACCATCCCTTGTGTCTGCCCTCGGGCCTGTCCACTCCTCCCTGTCTCTCCTCATCGCTTACCCCCTCCCTCGTTATCCCTTCTCCCCTTCTGACTCCAGCCTCCTAGGCCCCCCATTATTTGCCTCATTTGTCAGTTCCACCTGGACCCCCAACCTTGCCCCGCTCCCCTAGTCCTGTCTGCTGCCCTCTTCCGTCTTCCATGATGCCTTGCTTCTCCTGAGTCGCCCTGCCTTGTCTGCCCCCAACCCCCACTGCAGCCACTGCTTCCAGCCCCCACGTCCCCTCTGTTCTCCTCTCCCCGCCTCTTGCCCCCAGTTCCCAGAACACTCGTCAGTGGGGTGCCTAACCAGATGCTCTGATTGCCCTTTGTCCTCCAGGCGCCAGATGAGAACCCTACCACACTGGTCTTTGATGAGGAGATGCTGGAGATGAATGTGTCCTACAGTTGGGACTATAACCTCTCCGATTTGGAAGCCGCTGCCCCCTGCCACTCATGTACCCTGCTGGACCACTCCTCGCTGCCTTTCTTCATCCTTGCCAGTGTCCTGGGCATCCTGGCAGGTGGGGCTGTCCTCTACGCGCTTCTCAGACCTCTGTTCCACTGGCAGCTCTACTGGGACCGAGCTGTCCTGGTACAGGTGGCTGTGGGCAGTGTTCTCTTCAGCATCATGGTGCCCATCCAGGCCCCGGGGCTGAGTGGGGCCTTCGTCACCTCCCTGTGCCACGTGGCCCACTTGGTCTCATACGGCTCAGCCTTTGCCCAAGCTCTGCTGATCGGATACCACGCCTGCCTGGGCCCCAAACTGGATGCCAGCCAGGTCCCAGGCCTCAGGCTGGGGCTCGCTGTAGGACTTTGGGGAGTGGCGGCCCTACTGTCACTGCCAGTCACGCTGGCCAGCGACACTTCCCAGGGACTCTGCACCCTGACGTTCAGCGGGGAATGGGGGGTTTTGAGGCACATAAATGCTGCGGCCTGTTTTGTCCTCTTCAGCTTGTTGCCACTGGGTTTGTTGGGAGCCAAGGGACTGAAGAAGGTGCTAGGCAGGGGGCCGTGTCCCTGGGTTGACATCCTGTGGGTCTGGTTCACTTTCTGGTGGCTGCAGGGGCTGATTCTGGGATTGGACTCCCTAGTGCGGTCCAAGGCCTTGGTGCTGTCAGCATGTCTAGCCCAGCAGGCCCTGGATGTGCTGCTGGACCTGGCGAAAGCCGTGACAATATTGCATTGCGTGGCTACGCCCCTGCTCCTAGCCCGGCTCTGCTACCAGGCCACTCACTCTGCCTCACCCACCCTGCCTCTCTCGGCCAGACAGCCTTCTCATCTGGATGCCCTTGGAGGCAAATCCAAGCTCTCTTCCCACCTGTCAAGCTGAATTAAAGTCGATGCTCTTTTTATGAAGCTGGTGGTTTCTCATTTTGTCTGGGGATGCAGAGGAGATGGAGGAGAGTGGCGGGAAAGACCTTGCACACCAGTCTCTCCTGCCAGTGTGCTCTCTAGCTGGCATGGGGAGAAAGTGATGCCGTGCAAACACCCTCAGGGCACACAGATGTTCTCTTGAGGTGTGAGGTTCCTGCCATGTCGAGAAGGAAGAGTGAGCAGGGGGACCAGACCCTGGGGAGAGCAGCTAAACCTGAAAGGACTAGGAGAGATGGCTTAGCAGTTAAAGAGAGGAGAGAAGCTGCCACAGAGAGCAAATGAAATCGGAAAAGAAATCGGAGCGAGAACAGAAATGAGTGAACATGAGCCCAGAGCAGGACTCCTGCTCCCTGCCCGGCCCGCCTAGCCTCCCTCTCTGCCTTCCATCTCCCCGACGCCTGTTGGCTTTGCTTAGAGATAGAGCCGGCAGGGAGCAAGCATCCGAGGGGGGCTTACTTAGCCCAGGGAAGCACATCAAGATCACTGGAAAGCCACTTCTCGGGAGTCATCTCTCCGAGGTTTGTTCCTCAGCATAGTCCTAATGCGCGTGTGTGCGCGTGCACGCCCGTGTGTGTATCTGTCTCAATCTGTTAGAACCCATATCCACGTTAGAGGCAGGTGTGTAACAACCGATGCCTGCGTGTGTGCTGGCCGTTCCCTCCACCTCCTTCAGCTCTTCATCCTTGTTCCCAGGATATGGGATCAGGATTGATAACTCACTCTTTACCCAAATAAACTGTCTTTACGCCGCTTTCTGTATCTCGTCTTTTCTGTGTAGGATGTGTAGAGGGAACAAAAAGCCAAGAAGTTGTGAAGCGTAAGACACTTAATGGGGAAGGGCCTGATCAGGGTCACTTTCTGCTTGGAATCCCCCCCCCCAATTTCCCTTTGAAGCACCTTCAGCTCTCAGAAGAAATCGTTTTTTCCCCACACAAATTACCCTTCCACTTCCCACACTACACCCCTTTGCCCCAGGGATCTCTTTCCCAAATACCACTCTGCTTAGTCATGACCGTGGGGGCTTTTTCTCAGCCCCCCACACAGTCAAGTTCAGGTGATGACCGGAAGGATGATGAATAAGCCCCTCTTCATAAGGGGAACAACTTCCACTGGCACCAACAAATCACCCTCCACCCAAGATACCCACAAAAATGAGTTTCTTCCTCCAATCCAGGTGAAACCTGGGGAAGCTTGAGAGGGTACCTTACATCTGTCTGAATCCAGACTTGGTCTTTCCATTTTTCAAAGATGTGCTACACTTGGTTTCCCCCTAAACAATTTCTGCTTGACTCTTTGGGCTTGGAGATAAACAGGAGAGTTCAGGAGAGGAGCAGAGATGAGGTAGAGCATCTTAGGCAGGTGATGTGAAAGGCTCGGGGAGTTTTCCTGGGTGGGTGCAGTGACAAATCCGCTAAATCCCCCCCACCTCCTGTCCCTTAGCAACCACCACATTAGCTCCTGATTGGTGCATCCTAAATTGAAAGGCGGGATTTAGGGACTGATTGAGACGCGGGAGACATTCTGAAACAGACGAGAAGGGAAAGAAAATGAAGAAAAAAAAATAGATAATTTACAAGCCTAAATTATGCTAAGGTCTCCAGCCACAGTTCATAAACGTGTCCCAGTGTTTTCTTTTTTTCTCATCCCCTTCCCAGCCTATTCTCAGAATTTCCCCTCCAGCCCCTGACCACTTTCTCAGTCCTTCAGACATTGCCCAACTCCCTTCAAGCTACTGGATTCAGAGGCTGACCTAGTTAAGGGGGAGGAGAGGGCATTTTCAACTTGCTGAATCTTCCAGTGTCAACCTGATGCAATGGAGGCTTAATTTAAGACCCCCAAGGTTGTCTTATCTACCCCACAACCCCACACCTCCAGATAGAAATCCCTCCTCGCTCAGTCCCGTTGGAGAGACCCCCATGCAGCTCTGTGGCTCTCACATCTCTCACAAAGGAAAGGCAGAGGCAGAAGCCTGCAGCTGATAAGAGGTCTGGATGGGCTGGCGATGCCTCTCCACGGTTATCTCCTCCCCCTTCCATCCCTGCTGCCTTGCCCAGGGCTCTCAGGGGCTGGCCTTTTCCTGTGTTATCTGCACTGCATTCGGATAGTTCTTCTGTAAGTCTAACCCTGACCTCAGTCATTTCTTTAAGGCTTTCCTGGGGGTCCTGTTACCCCAGTCCGTTTAACCCATTGCATGCCACTGACCACTCCAAAACTGGTCTGAACCTGCCGTCTTTCCTGCAGCCCTCCAGGAATACAAATCCCATTTCCTTAGAACCCTTAAGAATTTAATCTTGGGGATGGCAGGGACTTTAGCTGTGTATGAGTTATTGGGCCTTCTGGCTAAAGAAAAAAAATCCTCTCTGAAATATGATGGCCAGGGAGCAGGCTCTTGGGAACACACCACGCCCTGGGGAGGGTCAGTCTGCATGGCTTCTTTATGGAAGGAGATTTATTTCTTAAGGGAAGATTGAAGACCACGTTGACTCCCAGAGTTTATTTCATGCTGGGGCCCTGCCCAGAGGATTTAGGAAGCAAATACCAGGTGCTTACGCCCTTCTATCTACCCCTATTTCCCTAAACCCCCAGCCCCATCATCACCTTCTTCCAGAAACCACCCTCGGAGGAATTCTGATTGAAAACTTCCCTGGGATTTCAAACTTAATTCATCGCCAACTCTAATTGCCAGGGATTTGCATGAAAACCATCGTATGCTATCTAATTATTCTGACAACAGCAGCCCGCCGTCTGGGCACAAGGAGAATCGCGGTTTTAATTAACAATAATGCACCTTGCAGACGAATGTGACTGTTTAGGTTAATTAACAAGTCCAAGTCCTTCCAAGTCATCTCTGCACATCTTCCAGGTGATTTGGGCCGGAGCCGGTGGGGCATGCAGGGGGTGGGGGAGTTTAGAAATCAACTCAGCCAAAAAGCATGTTGGTTTTCATCTTTCTTAGAACTATTTGGTGATGGGAGGAGACAATCTTCTTGAAAGAGATTCTTGAAAAAAATTGACGGGGGTTTGGGGGCATAGTTTTAGGAGATTTCAGACATGTTTATGTCACAGTCAGACTTTCAGAAACCTTTGACACATTTGTATAAATGGGAGGGAGGCGTCTTTGTAATTTTCAAATCCCTCTAATTTGCTGTCCCGTCATCTGCAACCTTGGTGTCTTGCATGAGAATTTCCTATAGTCCCAACACTGCCCTCTGTCCCTACATTTTTGGTCCATTCCTACCACATTCGGGGGGCACTTCAAGTTGCTCACTCCCTACGATTTCACAGATAATGTCCCAAATTCCACTTTTACCTCCTCCAGGCTTACTGTTTGTACTGTTTTTCTAAGTGGTTCCCTGAGTCCTGGAAGAGTACTCTGTGTGTGACTCCCAGTTGCATTTTTCTGAAAGGCCTGGGCTTCCCTTCTTCCTTCACATCAGATATTATCAATGTTTGGGGGTGGAGGGTGGATCGCAGGTCTCTTGGAAAATCTGTTGAAAGTTATGAAGTCCGTCTTCAGGAAAATATAGTATTACACCCCAAATGCGGCACTCAGTTTTCCCCTGCTGCACCTAGAGCCAAGTTCACATGCTGTCCCGCTGCCTGACAGCTCTTCCATCAGTCTCCTCCTTGCTCTCTAAGCTGGGAGCCCAGTGGCCTAGGGGACTTTCTGTTCTTTGAGTGGGCAAATCCTGTTTCCACTCCAACAGTTTTTGCACTTGAAATCTCTTCTGCCTGGAACACTCTTTACGTGATTGACACTGTCTCACCCTTGAGATCTCTGTGCACACATCACCTCCTCCAAGAATGACCTTCCCTGACATCCACTGGGAGGTAGCCCCTGGTCACCCCAGGCACCTAATGATCCCCCATCAATTCACCTGGGATGCTTCCAGCGTCCCACACAGCACACGTTGAAATTGTCTTGTTTCTTCATTTGTTTGCTTACCAGCTCGTTGCTAACCTACCCTCCTTCCCACCATTAGCAGGAAAGCACCAAGAATGCAGGAATGTCTCCTCTTTTGTGAGTGGACTGTAGTCAGAGCTCAGTCAACATGTGTTAAGTATGTGGATCAGTTTCATATGAGGAAAGTGTGGTGTCCACCCTGGAGGGTTTCCAGGCCCGTGGGGAAGAGGAACAAGGAAACAAAGAATTAGCACAGGAGAACTGCCAGAAACCGGATCTCCACAGCTAATGTCCTCCAGGTCACCTCTCCCAGGCCGTGCAAGTGTTCGGGGGTTGAAAAGCCTAAAGGACCATTGGCGCACGGTTTCTGGCCTGAGAGCCTGTCTTCTGAGTCAACTTTTGGGCGGCTGGAGCTGGGGGACTTCATCACAGTTCCCGAGTCACAGAGCCACACGTTGGAGGAGCGACACGTTCTTTCGTTTGGAACAAAACTGCAGGCTTCAGACAGCCAGGGAGAGCTGGGAAGGGCTGTCATCTTCATCTTTACTTGAGGACAAGTGAGTCCCAGGGGACTCCCCGAGAGATCTAGGAGACAGTCTTCCACTGGCTCAGAACTAAATCCAGCCACCTCCTTGGATTTCATGACACTCAGCCAGAGAGCCCACACCCTTCTTGGGCCTAAAAGTCACTTCCGTTTCCCCATTGCCTTTTTTTTAATTCTCCATCCCCCTTCCTCCTCTTCAGCTCCAGTTTAGTGCCCCTGCCTCCAGCCCTTCCTGAACTCTGAACTTTGCTTCCTTCTTTCATGGGTCTGGCCTCTGCAGCCAGAATTCAGCATTTGACTCTGCAGTTCTGAGTACTTGGTCAGGTTAACCCTTGAAGGCACTTAGAGGTATGTAACTTATTTTATTTAAAGAACATGTAATGGGGAGAGGGTATAGCTCAGTGGTAGAGCACGTGCTTAGCATGCCCGAGGTCCTGGGTTCAATCCCCAGTGCTTCCATTAAAATAACCAACTAAGTAAATAAAGCTAATTACCCCCCCAAAATAAAAACAAAAACAAAGCAGAACACCAAAG